AATACAGTATAAGCTGGAGCAACTGAAAAATCAAGTAGCTGCATTTCGGAGCATCAAGGAAAGAGGGCTCATATCGGCGTGATGTTGCTAAACAGCTTTCGAGGCCTTCATGGCGCCTGGCTTACATCAGCGTAGGTTTTGGCTCACAACTTTCTGCAACCGGAGATGTTGCAGAAATCTTAGATAAAGATGTTCGATATACTCGTCAAAGGACAAGATTGACCGTTGTCAAGAATGTTGTTGGACGGATGCAGATAAGCACGTAGGGGGAGTATGTATGTATTTAGATTACCATCAGACAAGCTTTCTGGCACTCGAAATCAACGAAATTTACAGTAATATCACGTATTAAGCTATCCACCAGGCTAGTAAATCTCCGCCAAGCAGTTCAGATATATGAGTCCGGACCTTTTATGCTTCAGTGACAGATAAATGAGCAAACGTACGGAGTAGACCAATGAAAGAACCTTCATTTTTCTGCCCTCGTTCCTAATTTGGGCTCTGCCGTCGGCCTCAGGAACTGACAACGTGCACACGCGGGAATCAACTTTTTGACGGCGAAGGAATGGTATACCTTATTAGAAGAGCGTCTGTGTAAGCTTTCAATCGAGGAATCGTTTCCTGTAGACTGTCTTCGTCACTTATGGCTCCTTGCCACTCAGATCGATTCATGCGCAATAGAATCTTGGTATCATCTCATCAATCATATTCATCTATAGGGGTATTCTGAACTATGTGACAAGAATGTCCGAAGAAACCACTAAAACAGCCCCAAAGCGGCAAATGCGGCCACCACTTCACGATCTACATTAAGGAGCCACTCTTCCTGGAACCGCTGCTCACCACCGCACCCCACGATGAGGGAATGCAAGCGCTGGCGCACAAAGTCCCGGATGTTGATTTTATGGATCACATCTGAAGTTTCCCAATGACGTCGGCGTTCGTTCTCTGGCGGCTCAGGCCCATCGTACTTGGCGTTCGGCGCGTTGTTCCAGTAAATGAGATAATCGCCACTGCGGGGGTCGTTGGGATCACCCTCGGTACCTTCTGCAAGTTCCGTAACGATATCCGTCCAAATGTTCATGTATGATTGCAGGTGGTTGAGGATGTATGTGGGTGGCTGGGTATCGGGGCCGTTCAAGGCGAGGAGCTGTGTCAGAGCGAGCGCATGCAGTTTCTTCTGAGTCACGCTGCCAATGTTGTCGTAATGCAGGAACCATTCCGTGAGGAGCCAGGAGAGAACCTGTTCTTCGGGGGTCTGTGTGGCAGCAGAGACGGCAGAGACAAGGATCTTAGGATATGCCAGGGCTAAACGAGCGAGGACAGAATAGTAATCCGTCTCCACGACGCCGTAGACCGACGTTGGTTTCCGGCGTGGGCCAGTCGTCTGACTAGCTTCGTAGGCGGAATGGAGACCTTCCAGGAGAGATTGCAGGAATGAGCTGTCAATGAGGGAGCGCGTGATGACGTTGTATGTGTTTTCGCTCCCTCCGTCAACCGCTTCAGCGCCGCGGATCATGAGCTCAACGAGGCGAGGGACAACGCCAATGCGTTGCCGAGTGGTGGATTGTAGGAGGGTTTCGAATGAGACGAGAAGGGGAAGTCGAATTCGGTCACTGAGAACCTCCTGGGGAGCGAGATAGATATAGGACTCTGCGATTTGGAGGGCCTGTGGGACACTGTCCGTGGCGGCTTCGAATATAGGATATAAGGCAGGGATGAGCGCAAGAAGCTCGGGAGACGCCGGTGCAGGCGTTTGGGTGAGGATAGCAGACCAGAGCTCTAGGGCCTCATCAAGGAGATATACCAGGGTCTCCTATTCTTGGGTTAGTTCTTGACGTGAAGGGCCAGAAACGAGGACGTCTTACAGAGCCTGGTTCTACCGAACTACTGATCAAGGGCAAGACAAGAGAGTGATACTTGATCGAGTCCTGATTCAAAGAATGTATAAGGGACGATATTAGAGTCAGAATGGCCTGTTTCATGAGATGCTCCTCGCCCGATTGCTCCCACAATGGAGGCAGTAAAGCTAATATCTGGTCCGAGAATGGCGCAATCTGAACGAGTGTTAGCAGACTTGTTGAGCCCAGTTGGTGAAGGGGTGCATACATGATGCTCCATCTTTACTACCAGGACACGAACGCTTTCCAGAAGTCCCATCTTAGTTTCAGGAAGTTCGACCTCCTGAATGAGAGACATCAAATCCTGGAGAATGGACTGAGCATAGGGCATGAACCCGGCAGCGGAGAATTCGAATGGATCCAACACGTTCTTGAGCTGTCTACCAGCCGTGATGCGGACAACCAGGTCATTCAAGGGATCCTGTTTGCCTAAAAGGTGCTGGAAGATCTGGTAGATGGCATTCCTGTTGAGTTCATCCGGCTTTACTGGTACCCATTGCCCAAGGACGATGGCAATTCGTCTCCTAAGGACATTGTAACCCTGTTCCTGAATTTGGACTTCTTGGACAAGCGTTGTCTCCAGAAAACTGTTGAAGTCCAATTGCTGCTCTAAGCTTGCGGAAGCCAGTCCGATGGCGGAGTATAATGAGTCTTTGAGCAGTACGTCACGCTTCTCGGGACCTGGAGGGGAACGGTCAATAGCGTTCGTAAATGTACTCCTCGGTGGCTTGAACTTACTTGCAAACGAGAAGAAGACGTTCAACAGTCGTGGAATCAGCAAGTCTTTGAAGTGGATGACCAGGTCGAGGAATAGCTTCTCAGAGCACGATCGGATGGAGAATTCCCAGGCTTCAGCAATATCCTCCTCCTTTCTTTCCCACTCCTCCGGCTCAGCCTCCCATTCTTGAAAGTCAGCTTTCCGGAAGCGGAAAAATTGCGTAACCAAAAGCTCCATGACACTGACAACAAAATCATGGGTGAAAAGATCCGACTTTATTTGTTCAATGGACCGTTGTTTCTCCTCTTTGTCTTGCGGAGTCTGATATTTGAACGTCTGAGCGGGATTGAATGCCATTTTGGAACAGGCCCTGATCAATAGAAGGGCTCTGAGCCCCACCTTTTCCATAAGTGTCTTGCCGTCCGAGTCACCGTCCTCTCCCAGCTGGCTGTAGTTTTCTCCGAGTTTGATAACAAGGGTCCAGTAAGATTGAACAAGGGGAATGCTGTCCGGCAGCAAGGCGAATGCCGCGGGCCGTTCCTTTGCCATCTCCACATGAAGTTTCGACAACTTGAGCAGATGTTTCTCTATTGACCTCTGAACTTGCTCTGATAAAGGCACGGAGCCATTGACAAAAGCAAAGAACCGACTGAAATGGGTATGGCTCAGGAGCCAGAAGTCCTGAGCCTCTTTATCACGATTGGGGTGCTCGAATCCTGCAATGATCAGACGCCGAAGAACCTTGAGACAAACTAGGCTTTGCTCTGCCTCATCAAGTAATGCCGCCTCATCGACGCCGCCCTGCTCTAGAATGACGGTCCATTTGTTCACCTTCTCCACGTAGATATTGACCAGAAGATGGAAGATCTCTGGTGCCACTGACTGAAGGTTCGCACGCGTTCTCTGTAGTCGAGCTGTTGACAATTCTTTGATTATTTGGAGTAGTATTGTGAGTGTCCGCGGTAGCTGCAACGAGTTTGCGCCGGGCTGTGTTGAAGAGCGAAGGTAGGCGATGATTGCTGAGATTCCATCTGGCCTGACAGATATCAGAAATACGAACCTCGTTCAAGGACAACGGTCAGCACTCACCAGTCTTGCGGGAATTCGTAGCGCATGATCTTGGCAATCATGAAAGCATTGTGAAGGGCAAGCAGAGGTGCAGGTTCTACTACCCCAGCCTGTACGGCCCTCACCTTTATCCTCTCTTTCTCTTCTTTCTTGATGGCACTTCGAGAATGTCAGTTGTCGGCTCGACGTATGCGTATCAGTGACCCTAGACCTACTTTGTCGCAGTCTTCCGCCAGTACTTATCAATGCCATTCTTCAACTGGATGATGGACAGGTAACGGACTTCGATGGGCAACGATTGATCTAGGAATACATCCTGAGAGAAAGTACTTAGTCAATATGCAAGACGGGAAGTATAGAAAAGGAAGCGCAGGAACCGGACCAGGAAACTACCGACATACCTGAAGTAGAGTGAAATAACTCTCATGCTTTTCCCAGTGTTGCAGTTGCTTGGTACCGGTTTGCACCTGCTGCTGTGTCGAGCTGGCTGCGAGTGCAAGCGCATGGAGGAGATTCTGAGGGTTCAGTGGATTGGACTCGCCAGGTAGTTCAACTACCTGAGCCATAACTAGCGATGCTGGAGTAAAGCAGTTGTTGACTTCGATCGTAGCACGGTCACGACAGGAACTCCAAGCACCTAGTTTGCCATAAGTTCAGGGCTGGTGAAGTACTTCGATCTATCGCTTCCGAAATGATGCAGAAACGCGCGATTATGGAAAGAAAACAACTGAAAGAAAGCCAAAAAGCCTCGGAACGGTCCAACCACGAAGCTGTCTTTGTTACAATGTTTCTACTTTCTACTTTACCAGTCCCCGCAACTCCAAAGCGGGAACCTTGGGAGTATCATTCTTCCGTCCCGCCCCAGCCCTAGGTTTTGACCCTCTGCGCTAAACCGTATTTGAAAGCTGAGTTAGGGCTGATAGCCCGAGTATCCAGATGAACTATGAAGTCATCCCCAAAAGAAAAGACGACCCTTCAGTTGTCGCAGGGCCAGTTTCCAACTCAGAACTGCAAAAGTGCCTTGCTCGAAAGAAGTGGGCCAGATTACTGGGTCAGGTTACCACTCACCCAAGCAATTGGTGTACACCAAAAAGAAGCTGAGCGCTCGTCTCCGCAGCGGATTCTGTGACATCGACATGATGTATTATGATGCAATGCTGTCCAAGGTCCCTGATGCTGGACGACATCAAATCCCAGGTATTTTATGCTGGGACTGATCATTCTTATCGTAGGCAACATCGGCAGTACACGCCTACTCTATCTACAATTCAACTCTATACCTCTCGCATTCCCTACTACAGAAATTAGCCAGAATGTCCGATCACGACAACAATCTCAGAATCGCCCACGAGGCAGAGAAAGACCTGAACACCTACCAGGCCAAGCAGGGTCTTGGTCGTAAGAGCGATTCCAGTATGTCGTCCGGCCTTGCAAGTGCATGCCTGCTTAGTCGTGAGTCTAACCTCTATATAGCCGTCGAGTCAGGTGTGAACGCAATGGTCGACAAGAAGTTCGGGGATACCGGCATCAAGACGGGCAGAGAAGCCGGCGCTTCCAGCAGCGATCGTAAACCGATTCCCGAAGACGAAGGCGGCAGCCGAGACGACCGTGGCAGGTGAGACAAGGACACTGCTAGAGTGAAATTCCGTTACTTGTTCAATGAACTGACTTGCATTCCGCGACAGAATTTCAAAGGCCTCTCAGTTCGAAGAGTCCGGGGGACCTGAAGATAAGGTGAGAATAGAGTCTCAACGTCGTCCTGGTGACGATGATGCTCTGAACCTGCAAGAGATGAAGCGCGAAGGACTTGTTCGGAAGATTCACTGAAGATGGACTCGGAACGTCGCCCCGGTGATGATACTCTGGATCTCCAATATGCGAAGCTCGAAGCACATGTTCGGTAGATTCATCCAATCCTAATGATGTTTATGCACAATAAAAGGACTGTATCAGAACTATTTCTATCCAGGATCTTGAATAATATTCTAGAAACCAAAGAAACGTCAGGACAGAACTGACGGTTACGATCTGAAAGCTTAGAGCAGATAGCATCTTTTCTTCTTAATCATCATCAAGCTATAATGTACAGATCTTTGTTTCTAAGGTCAGATTCATGTATGGTAGGCTGTTGACCTGCTTGCGTCTCATTCCAATATTTACCCAGATCATGACTTCACTAGAATCACGTCATTGGAGAATTACAGCAGGCTCAGAGCGAGTCCCAAGAGGAGGCCAGAGACACCGGCTGCAGGAGCGACAGCAGAAACAGCGGCGTTGGAGCTAGCTGACGGAGAGGAGGAAGAAGAACTACTGTGTGTACCGGTGACATTCTTTCTGGTGGCAGTCACCTTGGTGTTGTAATCGCTCACAGTGTCATAGGGGAAGGGGCTCGTATAGTTGTATGTTGATTTCGTGTTGGCGTAGGTCTCCTTCACAATGTCCAAAATGCCATGGCCAGCAGAGCAATTGCCACTGGTCAAGGCATTGGGCCAGACAGGGGAGTATTTCGAGTATTCGCCCGCTGACATGGGACCAGGGTAGGTCTCGTTGAGGCGGAGATTGGTTGTGTCAACGTCGTAGTTGACATATCCCGTCTTGTTTGCCACGATCTCAAGGATGTTCGCACCGCAATCCCATCTTCCCAAAGAAGGAAGGCCCCAGTTCGCAGACACGGAAGCAATGACTGAGTAGTGGGTATAGAAAGTATCGTCCTGGGTACCCTTCAGCTCATCAGGAATGGCACCACCAAGAAGAACACTGAAGATCTTGTTGCCCTTATTATACGTGTCATCCTCATCGAAGGTAAGGAGGATCAGGGTGTCATTCATGAAGTATGAATTGTTGAGCAAGGGAGCAATCCAGCTTCGCTCCCATTTGGCTCCAAAGGTAATGTTGGTGTCGTGGGCGTCGTTGGTCATGTTTGGAGTGATAAAAGCCCACTGAGGAAGCTTCTTGTTGGCAAGGTCGTCCTCAAAGCTAGTAAAGTTCTTGATCTGCCGCAAACGAGTGCTGTTCTTCGTGACAGAGTCATACAAGACCAATGGGTTATGCTTGCGCACATAGTCATTGGCATAAGTCTCCTGGTTGGAATAGTTGAACCCCTGGAATCCGGGATAAGGTAAGTGCTCCTGGTACTCTCCCCAGGCAATGTTCTTAGTATCCAGGAGATCAGCGACAGTAGAAACATTGGCAGGAATCTGGTTGAAGTTATCATTGTCCATGCCGAATGTGTCACCTCCAGCAGCAGCGCAGTAGTTTGGCTCTGAAGGGTGCGTAACTGCATAAAAATTGGTGCTGCGGAGTAAATTAGTTCCAAGTCGTGAGGGAATGGCCAATATGAGAACTTACAGCAGGATTCCTTGTGAAGCCAGCCATTTCATGTTCTCATCTGCCGCAGCATCCTCGTAGTCCTTCTGGGGTCAGCTCTGGACAGAGATTTTCTGACTGGTGAGATGATCACGTACAATATTTTCAAGCCACACTTGGAAGAAGCGATTGAATGCAACACCCTCAATGTTCGAAACTGGAGAGTAAGGCTGGATGGAGGCTGCTGCAGACTCTATGGCAGAAAGAGAAGGCTCCTTCTCAGTAGCCGTCTGAGCATAGGCCAGAGAGGCAGTGACAAGCAAAGTTGCGACGGAAGACTTCATCGTGAAGACCTGTTTGCTATGTACGGTGAGAAGACCAACGACGCAATGATCAACAGGGAGACAATTTCGAGATTGAGATGATCTGACAGCTTTATATATGTGGGCAAAGCAATCAACGAACCACCACGCGCGGTCAGCACGTGTTACGTCAAAAGCCACAAGGTATCCTGGCCAGAGACGACAAGCTACTGAAAACCAGAAAATAGAAAGTGCCAACGACTATGTAGATGTAATCACGCGGCCAGCCGAGCTCGTCTGATTCGACAGGCAAAAAGTGAGAATGCAATGAAGATGGCTATTCACTGATCATGATAAGGTAATTATTGATAACGGTTCACTGTTGTCACTTCCAAGTGGTCGACATGGGAGATGCTTGATTGAAATGGCCAAAGCCACAGATCAAACTAATTCACAGTCAAGACATTGCAAGTGGATCTGCTGAGGCGGGGCCGGAATGATTTGGTACTTATCATTGGACAATCAATGGCCGGGGTTAATGCTTAGCGTGACTTAGCCTGGGCTGACCATGTTCGAGCGGAGACTCATATCGGGGCAGAAGCCAGCACGTGCTTGAATTGTTGTCCCTCAGAGGATACAGCAACGAACTACAAAGTACCTACGAAGTACATAACCTTGGATATCTTGGAGCCTTGGAGAGCAAGCACAGCAGGATTTTAAGTCCATTACAGTAGATGCTCTGTGAGTCAAGCTCCCATTTGGTGGTAAGGTAGTATGGTCTTGTGCCTTATGGGGCCACTGTTACATCTCGGCTAGGGTAATCCGAGATGTGCTATTTGCTTCTCTCGGTCTGACTGCTCCGTATCAGCAACAGGACAGTAGAAGGAATTGTCTCGGGAGTATTTCATACTCCGAGCAAACTATTTCGGAAGTTTCATTCGATTGCTTCCTTACGATATACATCTTGGTTCAATCCCTGGTCTGTACGTAGGCTTGCAGTAGATCTATGGTACTGGTTCTCACGATCCTGTGTCAGGTCATAAACATCCGTTTACTCAGAATTTCCGGGGCTACGAGACTTTCAACGTCAATGAGGCATGTAATTCATGAAAGGTGAATGGCTTTACGTACCTTTCGATCGTGTCTTGAGCAGCACTGAAAGAGAAGTGTCGGACTGGAGTTGATCATAGTGGGATCTGTCTCTTGAGAAACTGAGAAGAGCATAAACAATTACCGTGTAAAACTCCAGCTTTCCATGGATCTTTGGACCATTCATCACACTTAATCTGGCAGGCATCGGAGTCTATCTCCACGCGCGTTGAACGTCCGCATCTGAGGCGGAGAGCTCTACAACCTAAGAAAAGTTGATGGCATATTGACCAACGGGGACGCAGAAGTAGGTGTGAAGGGAAGTTAAATGCTTCTTCGGAGTGAGATGATCTCGCATACTCATTCGAGAGAAACATACAGTATTCGATCCAAGTCGGGAGTCGAGATCTTCAGCATCCAAAAAAAAAAAAAAATAAAAAAAAAGAGATTAGACTGCTTCACGTGATAAAGAACATACTCCCCAACAATAATATTGGCTTCCTGGGCGGTGTCTGTCTGTCTTCTCTCGTAACTGGCAACTGGAATGAATCTTCTGACGATGAAGTCACGTGCCTTGTTTCAACCTCGGCACGTCCCAATGTCCGTCTAGGGAACCGACCGACGCATTGACTACGTACCGCATTAACCTACGGCGGCTTTCACTTGTCACTGTTCTCATCCTACTTCTTCCTATAGTACGCACACGATGATAATACGATGAGCTCAACAAACTTTGCCGCTGCTCAGGAACGAGTTTTAGAACGCCGCCGCTTGCGCGAGGCCGAAGCTCGCAACCGGCTGGCGGAACAGCAGCGTGCATCACCGCTGAACCATCCAGCGCTCAGCCGACTACCGTATCCGTTGAACAGAATCCCACAATCCAGTGTCACGTTATGGAACTCCATCAAGGGGCGAGAAGGAGGCAGACCTGCTTTCCGTGTTGGTCAAGTGGATGCCGAGCTCCTCGATGAAGAGTTGCTCGGGCTTCTTAAGGGGCAGGTTGGAAATGCTTTGAAGTACTTCGGGGTATGGCCTCATATCGCTGCAATTCCAGTCGCATATCTCGTATCACTAATTATCTTGATGTTATGCTAGGCCCAATTACGGGAAGACTGGTCTCACGAAATCCAATTCGCCCTCCGTGCAATCTTGTTCAAACTTTCGATATGGGATCATAATGCCTCCTACGGTGCTGCCCTCCAGGGACTGCGATACGTCGATAGTCGCAGCAAAGGGCCCGTTCATTCTACCCCCACAAAATGGCAAAAGAGCCTATATGGCTTACTCACAGTTGGTGGTCGCTACGCCTGGGAGAAATGGGAGTCATGGTTGATTAGCCAAGAAGGTGGTTATGAAGAGGTATGATCCCGAAACTTTTTGTTGGAAATTATCTGGACTTGTGCTGACTGAAGCAGCCATCGCGGGATGTTCGAATGCTAGCTCGGCTTACGGATTTGATCTCTACCACCCACTCAATCGCAGCTTTCGTTTCATTCCTCGTCTTCCTGGTGAACGGCCGATACCGGACATTAGTCGACAGAATCCTTCGCATACGCCTTACCCCTCCGTCAGCTCAGTCAGCTCGCGAGGTGTCTTTTGAATACCTCAATCGGCAGCTCGTATGGCACGCATTCACGGAATTCCTTCTCTTCCTGTTGCCCCTTGTTGGAATCAGTCGGTGGCGGCGTTGGTTATCTAGAGCATGGCGGAAAACGATATCTGCCATCAGATCGAGGGATGGCGATGAAGATGAAGTAGAGAAGCGGGGAGAATTGGCATTCCTTCCAGAGCGAACATGTGCTATATGCTACAAAGACCAAAATCCTGCCTCCACTTCGGAAAACGATATCATTGCGGCGTCGGCCGGGGGTATCGTCGGCTCTGCACAGACGGACATCACAAATCCTTACGAGACGGTCCCTTGCGGCTGTATATACTGCTTCGTTTGCCTTGTGCAGAAGGTGGAAGGAGAAGAAGGAGAGGGCTGGGTTTGTTTGCGTTGCGGCGAGATCGTCAAAAAGTGCAAGCCATGGAATGGCGATGTCATTGAAGAAGTTCGACCTCCCACAACCTCCGGAAAAATTGTGGGGTTCGCTATGGATAAAGATGCGGTTACTCAGGATTCCATATCTGGCCAGGGACCAAAAACTCTTGCCGAGGAGTTAGGTGCCTCGCAAGAAGCCGGTCATGACGAGGCATTGGACCACTCTGGCCAGTGGTCTAAAGTAGACAAGGAATCAGTGGATGAAGCGGAGGTTGCATTGGATGAGGAAGTCAAGGAATCTGAGTGACGGATACCAGAGATTCTTCTATTCGTTTGTGAGCTTTATGGTAGCTCACAGGCTGTATATAACCTTCCACTGCTGGCTAACTGACTGGCAGCGTGCATAATCTTGCCCTCCTTGTGCGCTAGTTTAGAGGGCCCATTCCTCATTGACAGATACCCAGAAATATATGATTTGCCCAAGCCTAGTGCAAACCTATCCCACAACATTCATACGCAATTCAGTTTTGAATGACAAGACGGGGCAACTGAAGTTTGAGCATACTGTCTAATTTGCATTCTGACGGGACAAATCCACCGGGCCAGCTTATCCGCCCCCAAACCAACAAATCACAGCTCTTGAAATGCATGGCAATCAACCAAAGCTAGGTAAATGTAGGCGAGAAATGATTCTAAATCTGCTGCAGATGATTGACTGATTCCACCCCGCACCGGAGTGTTGGCCGACCCCACCAGCGGAGAGAGGATCCAACTCCGATCTCCTCAGCTTGAGGGGTATGAGTAGACGTCGGCAACTCGGATTTGGACCGCACATCATATTGGTGTTTTTGTATGGTTGTGATGGGTTTACTTTTCTAGACAAGTTATATACTCCATACCCTACTCTTTTCCCACAACATCTCGATCGACTGAGTACTTCGCTCATATAAAACCCTCCTATCGCACCATGAACTCTGACACCACGTCGTCCAACACCCAGGGCGAAGCCAAGTATATCAACTTCCCCAGTCTTCCTGACGACGCAAAGCATGAAGATGGCACCCCGGCGCTGAACAGATATTCTTCTTATATCACTCGCGGCCATGACTTTCCTGGTGCTCGGGTTTGTTACCATCACTCAGCTGTTTATGGACTGTACAGGCTAACACTCTGCTCTTGTATGACTGGATAGGCCATGCTTTTTGCAGCGGGAATTCCGGACCGCGATGCGATGGCTAAGAGTCCACAGGTGGGAATTGCCAGTGTCTGGTGGGAGGGGAATCCTTGCAATATGCATCTGCTGGACTTGGGCAAGACGGTGAAGAAGGCCGTTACGGATCAGGGCATGATCGGTTGGCAGTATAATACCATTGGAGTTTCGGATGCCATTTCGATGGGTAGTGAGGGTGAGTGGATTCAGACCTTGAGGAGCAGTGAGTCATTCCTGACGTGTACTCACAGGCATGAGATTCTCTCTCCAGTCGCGTGAGATCATTGCCGACAGTGTCGAGACTGTGACTTGTGCGCAGTATCATGACGCCTGTATTGCTATTCCTGGGTGCGACAAGAATATGCCTGGAGTTGTGATGGGTATGGCGAGACACAATAGGCCTTCGCTCATGATTTACGGTGGAACAATTCAGATTGGATACTCGAACCTGCTGCGAAAGCGGGTCAATGTGTCGACTTGCTTTGAAGCGGCTGGTGCCTATGCCTACGATACTTTGCGTCAACCGGACGATGGGGGCGACACCAGTAAAAGCAAGGATGAGATTATGGATGACATTGAGAGACATGCTTGTCCCACTGCGGGCGCATGTGGAGGCATGTTTACTGCAAACACAATGGCCACGGCGATTGAGTCCATGGGCCTGTCCCTGCCAGGGTCATCATCAACGCCTGCCTCATCACCATCGAAGATGCGAGAATGTGTTAAAGCGGCAGAAGCCATCAAGATCTGTATGGAGAAGAACATTAAGCCTCGGGATCTTTTGACCAAGCGCTCCTTCGAGAATGCGCTGGTCATGACGATGGCTCTGGGAGGAAGTACCAATGGTGTCTTGCACTTCCTTGCCATGGCTCGGACGGCTGACGTGAACCTGACCCTGGATGATATACAACGGGTCAGCAACAAGATCCCATTCATTGCTGATTTGGCCCCCAGTGGGAAGTACTACATGGCAGATCTGTACGATATTGGAGGGATCCCGTCTGTGCAGAAGTTGCTGATCGCAGCGGGCCTTCTTGACGGCGACATCCCCACGGTCACTGGTAAGACCTTGGCTGAGAATGTTGCATCTTTCCCATCTCTACCTCAGGACCAAGTCATCATCCGCCCCCTGGACAACCCAATCAAGACGACTGGCCACCTGCAGATTCTACGTGGAAACCTGGCGCCTGGTGGAGCGGTGGCCAAGATCACTGGCAAGGAGGGCACCAAGTTCACAGGCAAAGCACGTGTTTTCGATAAAGAATTTCAGCTCAACGATGCTCTAACCCAAGGCAAGATTCCTCGAGTCGAAAACCTGGTGCTCATCGTCCGCTACGAAGGTCCCAAGGGTGGACCAGGCATGCCGGAGCAGCTCAAAGCGAGTGCGGCGCTAATGGGAGCTAAGCTCAACAACGTGGCCCTAATCACAGATGGAAGATATTCAGGGGCTAGTCATGGATTCATCGTGGGTCATATCGTCCCAGAAGCTGCGGCCGGAGGACCCATTGCAATTGTTCGCGATGACGATGTGATTACCATCGATGCAGAAACCAACACAATAAACATGCATGTCTCAGATGAGGAAATCCAGCAGCGACTGAAAGAGTGGAAACCCCCAATGCCTCATGTCACACGTGGTGTACTCGCCAAGTATGCAAGACTGGTTGGGGACGCCTCTCATGGTGCAATGACGGATCTGTTCTAGGTGCTCCCTAGGTTACGTACTTTGTTCTGGAACATTCAACTTTCAGAAATAATCTCAACAGAGAAAAATTATTTTGATGATTGACGAAAGCCCAGTGTAATGCTTCAGCCATTGGTGATGCTTCCAACAAGCACAGTCGTCCACATACGTATTCTGAAATGGTCTGTGTTAGGTAACAGGCCATGCCACTTTCTCCTGACTTCCCGAGTTGTCTCATTCTCTGAACTCGTACTCTCGTGACTCCCGATATATCGACCAAATCATGATCGCGATTCAAGAGCATGCTTTCTACCTCCAATGTAGATAGATGATCCAGTCTAGATGATCAAGGGGAAGCTCAAAGCACTACCATCGCTGCTAGTCCACTAGTGCCGCCACGGGCTGCAGGCTGACGCCATGAGTGGGCGGAAGAGTGGATGATTCATCCGCCGCCTTTCTGACCGCCACGGTGCTCGTCCCGACCCTCTGACAGGCCAAACATTCTGCAGTCATCGGCCTTCTTTGTGCCTTTGGGTGACATATTATTCCATACATCGAATTTCCGGCATTCCGGACAAGCAAGGAGTCTGGATTGGCCATCTCGCAATCAAGAAGCATATGTTTATGCCTGCGTCGGGTTCTTTCCGTATTTGTGGAGGTATGTTGCAATTGTTGTCGCAAAACTTTGCCATGCGTCACATTAATGCTGTATCAATATCATGCGCCAATCTGCGCCGATGTCACTGTACTGACACTCTATTCAGGATTTCTAGTGTGCTCAAAAGGACGATAAGATTCGATGCATGACACGCTGATAACTACCTAATACCTTGAATCGGTCCGGCCCTCTTTGTTCGCAAATTCGCACCGAAATACCAAGTTGACGGCAAGCAAAGTTCCGGACCTTGGGGGCGATCTTGGCTCAAACGGTGGAGGTGTCCTATCCTTCCGGTGCCGCGGTGCGTGCGTCTAAGAACACTTTAAAGGTCAACGTGTTGGAATTTCGGTGATCATTGGTCAATTCCTCGAACGCCCTCACTTTGGGGTAACGCCGGGGCTCTCCACTTCCCTTGCCTCATGGTTCTTGCTTGCGACATTCAAGGCACATAGATCGGTTCCATCCTTTTTGCTCCATCGTAAATCTTTCTGGGTCGATCTCGACCGCCTCGTCGCCTCATTATTGACCCATCAAGTGGCTATTCGCCAAGGAAGATCCATACTCGTCTTCTTAACGTCCAAATCGCATTCCAGAACACATCCACGTCTTTCCGGTTAGCTGCGAACCCCGTTTTGAGCGGCTTTGTAGCAGATTCTGAGTAACTGTGGGCCTCGGAAGGTCGGTGAATGACCGCATGAGCCCCCAAGGGCAGGGGAACCTCTAGACTCTCGCACCTGGGCCCGATCGCCAGCGCTTCTGATCCAAGGTATATTTATATCTGTCGTGCACTTCTCACTCGCTATGGGCTCCATTGGTGCGTCTTTGTCGTCACCTCCCTCCCATCCGGGTCTTTCGAATACTGGCGCTGCTTTACAGCTCTGGGAGTCGGCCTACGCTGCTTTCTCGAATCCCACAGCCCTCCTTTCTTTTACTCGCAAATTTCAAATCCTTGATCAGGATGGAACATTGAACCGGGGGAAGGTTGCTTTCTTGACTACTTGTATCATCACGATGGCCGGCTGCGGTTTCCTTTCTTCATTGCTGCGGCGCAAGGGCTCCAAGCGGTCCTCTGGCCGCCAGCGCTTCCGCCGTCGAATTCAGAATGACGACTCGAAAACGTCGCCAGGGACCACCACTTCTTCTGAAGAGGAGGATTATGACAGCAGTGGCTCACTCCATCACGGCACGGACGCTGCTTTGCCTCAGGAAAAGGTGACGCACAAACATCACGAGCGGTCGGCGGACGGTTTGTTCATCACTCACTATCTATGGTATTGTTCCCTGCTGACAATACATCAAGCTCTCGCCACAGATCCAGGTATTTTGAAGAAGCGTTCTTCCTACCTCTCTTATTCGACATCCATCGCCACATATCCATCGATCAGAACATTCTTCAGTCCACATCCACACATGGACAAACTTCCAACCAAGCCTACACCAATACCATTACTGGTTTTTGTACACGGCTTGGGCGGCTCGTTGGCTCAGTTCAGTCTTTTACTAACGAGTTTAGCCAACGTTGGTCCGTGTTTTGGGATTGACCTGCCTGGGTGCGGACTATCGACATTTGCTCCCACGGACTGGGACGCTTATACCGTCGAAGCGATGGCGGAACTACTGTTCACAGCTATTGAACAACATCGCGACCGGGAGGCGGGCCAGAAGGTCGTTTTGCTTGGTCATAGCATGGGGTGCTCTCTTTCCGCTTTGATGGCATCATCCGCGTCGTCGATTGGGTCAGAGCTGAAGGAACATATTTTGGGACTGGTCGCTATCTGTCCACGCGCATCTCCCCCAACCCCTGATGAAGTCGCGTCATACCGTCGCCTTCTCAGAATTCCGGAAAGTATCTTTGATATGTGGCGCTATTGGGACCGACGTGGCGGGCTTCACAGTGCAAGTGTGAACCGGTTAGTCGGCACCGATGCGGACCCCGATACAAGGGAGCTTCAGGTGCGCTACAACAAACAAAGCAAAACTCCTGTTTGGAGGCGTATGGCGTGGGGAACTCTCCCCACCTATAATAAGGACGGCAAGGCGATTGGAGGTATTCCAGGAGAAGAAGTCTGGGCAGGAGTCAAGACATCTGTCCTCCTTGTTGCGGGTGAGTCTGATGCGGTAACCAAGCCTGCGGAACTTCAAAAGCTTCTCAAATTCCTCGGTGAAGTTGGACCCCATGCAGATGTAGGGGCTGATGGAAGCGCCATTATACCTGATGCGTCCGAAACTCATGATACAGTTTCAGCGGCGTATGATCGTTTTGCACATGAAGAGGAATATGGTCTCGAAGCACAAACGAGTGAGAAGACATTAATCGATGATCGTCGAGCCTCGAGTGAAAAGAAACGTGCTGTCAAGACAGTCATTCTTCCTGCGCCAGCTTCTCATGCTCTTCTTTACGATCGTGCAACGTATCGCACCCTGGCGGGCATCATCCAAGATTTCCTCTCGCAACACATTGACGAACGCTTGAGTCTTGGATGGCAGTTGCAGTACATGAACACCTCTGGCAAGTGGGATGTTAAAAACCTCGCCAAATGGAAGAAAGTCACACCTGTGTCTCAACGAATTGCGAACACCTTTGTCGCGCTTAAGATGCTGAGAGAGGTCGATGAAGAGCACAATCCTGTGCTGTTCTCGCAGAAGTACCGCGACCAAATTTACGCGGTCATTGACATCAGCTACGAGAACCCGGTATATAATCCTGCTTCTCTCGAAAAGGGAGGCATCCATTACCAGAAGCACCCCACAGTATCGAAGATCCCGCCGACGGCTGACGAGGTTCGAGATTTCGTGGCTTTGGTAGATCGGCTTCAGAATGAGATCACCGAAAAGATGAAGAGGTCCGGTAACCCTGACGGTCCCAGGCCTGTGGTTGGAGTGCACTGCCACTATGGATTTAATCGAACCGGCTTCTTAATTGTCAGCTACTTGATTGAACGATTGGGCTTCAGAGTCCAGGATGCCATTGATGAGTTTGAAAGGCAACGACCACCCGGTATTCGGCACGGACATTTTATTGATACTTTGTTTGTGCGATACTGTGTTGGGCTCAAGAGGGCGCCTACACTGTAATGTCTTTTATTGTACCTTTTCCTGTGGCAAGGGCGTTTTGTGGTCTCATATAGATGGATATGGTTTTGGTTGCATTGGATTGACGAATAATGATTCCGTGACAGAGTGTATATTAGCCATTTCAGTGATCTTATGTTCGTCTTTTAGCATTCATGCTTTTCATGTTACGCACGGATTTATTTGCAAGTCAATTCGGACACGAATTGACTGCTTACTCTCGATGTTCTTGAATACCTTCAGGGGTAGCCTGCAAACGTTGCATAGTCATTATAACAACACTCGGTTCTTACTTTCGTCGTTCGCCACGGCATCTATGACAATAGCCGGAATTCCCTTGTACTTCTCAACTCTCAAGTCACCGGAGAGACCTTATTCGCGAGAAGGGAGACTAGGCGTCCTACCCAGGCTTTGGCCGTAAATTCTTATGCTGTCAATCTGCTTCGGCCTTACCCCAGATTACATTGTCATCCTACACTTCGATGATGGTCGGTCCCACTCAGGCTTTATCTTGCGTTTTATCCGGCCATTCAGCCGGAACTTACCCCGTCTTTTGTCCGCAGCAGATAATTGGCGGTAGCTTCCTGTCAAGAGCTCATATGCTGTCTCGTGATTCTCAGTGATCACCACTCCAGTGTCTCTAATCCGTTAAGCCCCGGACTCCGCAAAGTCTCGCCCTCCTGCTCTTTTATCCTGACTTTGGGCTAGGCAACGCCACATCTAGTCATTATTGGAAAGGAGCACATGGGGGAACATGCAAGATTAGTTGCTGTCCAGGATGCGGGTGAATAATATAGCCAAAATGATGACAGTATTGAGGTATGAATACTCCCATCGCACCCTGTCAAGTTCTCATGTCGGTTACTGCCTTTTTCTCTTCCCCTTCATCTGATACGTATCGCCTTTCGAAGAGACAGACGATTACAACGATCATGGGTGGTGCCGTGGATTCGTCAGCAGCGATGGACGCTGCAGCGCAGATGCGCAAAGCTGCTCTTAAGGGCTCCTCTGGTATGGCAGGGTTGGTTCAGAATCGGAAGGTCTTCGGAATCGCCTTGTTTGCATGCCTGGGAGGGTAAGTCCATTCCCTATTATACTTTTCGAGTCTGCAGGTTGGGCTGATTGTGCAAAAGCCTTCTGTACGGTTATAATCAGGTGAGTCGGGAATACTAGACACGAGAGGTTTGTAGACAAAGCTGACGTTCTATCTCTGTGGAACAGGGTGTCTTCTCTGGCGTCTGTGAGTCGCTGAATTGCCATATTCGAGTTAATATGCCATGCTGATATTCACCACAGTGACGATGTATTCGTTCGAAAAGCATGTACGGGTACCCTTCTTATTGTCAACCTGACTACCGCTGACATCGTCTCGACAAGATGGGCGACGCCGTTACCAATCAGACGAAGAAAGGCTGGCTGACCGGTACGAGGGAGATTTTCCATGCTTGCTACAACGGTTGACTAAGAGCTGCTATAGCTATTCTCGAGCTTGGTGCTTGGTTCGGTGCATTATATTCCGGTCTCCTATGCGAAAGAATCTCCCGCAAGTATACCATCCTGGCAAATGTCGGCGTCTTCTGCATTGGAGTCGTGATCCAGACAACGGCGGCAACCAAGGGTGGGAATTCATCGCACATCCTCGGTGGCCGTTTTATCACTGGTATGGGGGTAGGAAGGTGTGTATACTTCTCAACGAAGACGTACATTCAAGTCGCAGGTGCTAACAACGCGGCCTCCTAGTCTCTCCATGAGTGTCCCCATGTACAATGCAGAGGTATGGGCGGAACGCTGTCGATAACAGTGATCTGGTCTAATGCTCAGCAGATCGCGCCACCGGAAGTCAGAGGTTCTCTGGTCGCTCTGCAGCAACTTGCTATCACATTCGGAATCATGGTAAGTGTGATGATTGATCCTTCCAAGTCCTTCCTGAGACACCAACATTAATCGATATTATGGCAGGTTTCTTTCTGGTTGGTTCATATCTTCTACCAACGATTTCTTCCCTGACGAGTATAGGATCAATTACGGAACAAATCATATTGGCGGCACGGGCCCTACTCAAAAAGATGCGGCATGGCTCCTTCCACTTGCCTTACAGCTGGTGCCGGCCGTTATTCTCGGAGCAGGCATGATCTTCATGCCATTCTCGCCTCGTTGGCTCATTCACCATGACCGAGAAGAGGAAGCCAAAAAGGTCCTCACGAGTCTTCGCGGCCTGTCTGCCGACGATCCACTTCTGCAACTTGAGTTCCTCGAGATCAAAGCCCAGAGTCTTTTCGAGAAACGGACCGAGAAGGAGAAATTTCCTCACCTCGAACGAACCAACACATGGAGCTATATCAAGCTGGAGGCTGCGGGATTCGCTAGCCTCTTCACTAGTTGGCCAATGTTCAGACGTGTTATGGTAGCTACAGGTAAGTCGCAACGGCCAACAACTGGTACAGAACCTCGCCTGCTAACTTTAATAGTCACCATGACTTTCCAGGTAAGCATATGAACCTTTGCTCGAGTGAGCCTAGCGCCTAACCAACGGATATAGCAATGGACAGGAATCAACGCAGTGCTCTATTACGCACCCTCGATCTTCAACCAGTTGGGTATGAGCAGCAACACCACCTCGCTCCTTGCCACCGGTGTAGTCGGTATAGTTATGTTCATCGCAACGGTAAGCCATAATCCCAAACACCCACCCACTGTACTCCTGATTGAAAGGAAAAAACCACTCACCCGTCACAGATCCCGGCTGTTATCTGGATCGATAACCTCGGACGCAAACCCGTCCTGGTTGTCGGCGCCATCGGAATGGCAGCCTGTCACTTCATCATCGCGGCTATATTCGGCCAGAACGAAAACCAATGGGACACGCACAAAGCTGCCGGATGGGCCGCCGTCTCTATGGTGTGGTTGTTCGTCATTCACTTCGGTTACTCATGGGGTAAGCGGCTTTCCACCTCCGAGGAAGATTCAACTACTAACCATAAACCCAAGGACCATGCGCCTGGATCATCATCGCTGAGATTTGGCCGCTCAGTGTTCGGGCAAAGGGCACCGCGCTGGGTGCTTCGGCAAGTAAGTACTTTCTTTCTCCTTGGTATTCTATCTTGGCTCTGACGCAGACTTTTCTTCGCGCCAGACTGGATGAACAACTTCATCGTCGGACAGGTCACGCCCGACATGCTCCAGAATATCAGATACGGGACGTACATATTCTTCGGCATAATCACCTTCCTTGGGGCGGGGTTTATTGCCTTCATGGTCCCTGAGACAAAGCAGTTGTCTCTTGGTGAGTTTCTTGATTCTGCAATTGCAAGACGTGACGTGTACTAACGAGCTATACAGAGGAAATGGATGTTATCTTCGGCTCTGAAGGCACTGCCATCTCCGACTATGAGCGTCAGGCTGAGATCTCTCGGGAGATTGGTCTCGATGAGGCTCTGGCCCGGTTGACCAATACTGCCCCGATGGAGGTTCATGACGTTGAAGCGAAGCAAAGTTGAAAGGATGGAAGCCGCGGCGACTGTCCTTCATGGATTGGTAATGTTTACAAAACGGATTCTCCGCCTGTCTCGCAAATCTAAATGGGATTGTTACGCTTAGAAGTTAATATTGTGGGAGCCTAGTCGTTGATGAATGCAAATATGTTATCGACCCGAGTAGTCTTAAAGAATTTGAGCGGCCAAGTACATTTGAAAATCTGCCAGAGCCGATCTTTGTACTCGATACTGCGGGTATGCAAGCACCCAGTTCTCTTCCTCCTCAACAAGAGGTCCCTAATGGTGATACCAAGCCATCAATAGCCATGCTCAAGAATCATGAAGCGAGCATTCACTGTCTAGGATGGTCAGCGCAGACAATCAACAAGAAAGTTCAATGATGACCCAAAGTGGAGCACAACATACCCAGAGAAATTAACAGAATGTTGGAAGGGAGGAAACCTCAATCCTTCTCATACTGAAACTTACAACCCACACAGGCCTGAATGCCACAACCTGGGCACATGAGAGTGTAAATTGGCATCCAGCGATGACAAATCTCACATGCGGGACGCTCAAATTGCTTGACCCAGGACCCAAGGTGCAGGCACTGCTGTGGATCGTTGCCTGTTCTCGGAATCTCTGCATCAGGAACGGTAAGACGGATATTTTCGAGCCAGCCGCAGAAGGTCTCCATGACAATACCTTGAAGTTCAACACCAAGGTCCTCCTCAGTGTAGCGGCCACTGGGATCATCAAGCTTCTTTTGGAAGTATGGGACGAAGGGAGATAAGAGATCATGGAGGCTTGATCGATTGACACTGTCGTCGTTGTCGACGTCCTCAGACTCTTGTTCGTTCTCGTCGTTGTGGACAGCTTCATTCACACTTACAGCCTCGGAAAGGCAGGGATTGGTACTGTAGAATCTGTGGGATGAGCCTGCCTCGCTGAAGTCGTAGAATGTCGCCGTGTCGTCGTCTGCTTTCTGTGCCTCTTCCAGATTAGTCGACTTATTGTCGTACTGCTCAGCACATGCTGCGCGGATGCTCTCCATATGAAAGCGAGACTTGAACTCAGAGTCGCTGCTTTTTGCAGTAGCGTAGTCCAAGTCGGACCCACAGACAGACGGAATATACTCGGAGAGCTGATCGTCAGGGCACAGGGAAGAATCATCGAAGTCATGGTCATCATCCTCGTAAAGCTCTTGCTGGTCTTCAGTATTCTCTTTGGACACGTCTTCCTCGTAATCGACTCCTTCATAGAGCTCCGGTTGGTCGTTAACTTCCTCCTCACAAATGTCTTGTTGCTCTTCGTCCTCCTCGTAGACCACTTTGTCCTCACCCTCCTCATAAAGCTCCTGTTCTTCCTCACCCTCTTCATACAGCTCTTGTTGTTCCTCACCCTCCTTGTATGGTTCCTGATGATATTGTTCCTCCCTGTAGTCCCGAAACAGGTGAGCCCTTTGTGCACACTTATCCCAGATGCTTTGCTCCTTTCGGTTAATACTCTCGGTGTAAAAGTCGAAATAGTCAGGTTCTTCTTCGAGGACATCCTCGGTATGAGCGTCCTGTTCGAAAGGTTCAGGCGGATGGTCTCCCCATGCACTTTGATGCACCTTGCAATTCTCCTCTTGTCCTGCCCTCTCGGCTTCCATCTGAGTACGCATCTGTTCCATCTCCTGCTGCCTGGCAAGGTTCCGTCTGAATTCCTCTTCCGCCTTGAGCATCTGCTCAACCCATTCCATATCCTCTTTAGATTCCTGCTTCTGAGGGCTCACATGTACACTTTGCTCGTAACTGTACATGTAACGACTGTTCTCATCGTATCTCTTGAATGCGGAAGCCGACCAGTGGGAACCACCTGCATGCGGGAAATTGGTCCCATGCACAGATATCCTTCCCAGCTTGACGAGTTCCAGATCATGTTTCTTGCGGCGGACAGGGTCGCGAAGTATTTCCACAGCTTGCTGAATCTGAAGGTCGGATTTGGTTAGCATGATTGCTTTTGAGTTCTCAGTGTCCTTGCTTGTGCGGCTTGTACCTTCTGAAATTCGATATGAGAGCTCTCCTCCCCACCTGTCTTGTCTGGGTGATGTTTGAGAGCAAGTTTTTTGTAAGCTGTATTGATGTCCTTGATGGTTGCATCAGAATTGATGCCCAAAATCTCATAGCAGTTCGCAATGGTAAGGTGAGACATTGTGGGCTCGAGGTCGATCCTCGTCCGCCTTTCATAACAGAACAACCAAGCCACACCTTCTTTTTCAGTCTGGGAATGATGTGATAGATTATCAGATCAGCATGAGCCGTAGTTGAAGGGGGATGAATCAATAACAAACAACAAACAACAACACAACTTCCGGACCTTTCAGGGAAGGAGGCCCTTGATACGCACACTATCCTTCGGGATTGAGACGGTTCCAGAGTCAAGAAAGACGCCAGGTAGCAATTGCTGGAGTCTAGTAGTCAGGGATAGATTTTGGAAAGGGGAAGATGAGATCGTGGAGATTTGAACAGAGCAAACGGGGAGAGATGTGAATTGAGCGTCGGTGTTCCCTCTAGTCCAAACAAGGAAGTACAACAACACCATCAGTCAGCGATTTCGTCTGACCTGAATATGTAAGAAAAGTTCATGGTGTCAGAACGTAAAAGGCCTGAGACAGTCCAGTTAATATCCATCTCATCATTCTCATGTAGAGCACAAAAACAAATGTTCATATCAAAGTGAAAAGGTGTGAATCAGCGGCAATATCAAACATAGGATATCTTAATCATGATAGTAGTTGTTGCATTAGGCAACAATGTGTTAGAAGGATGTCAGAATGCACAAAAGAAAGTTGGATTGAGACTGATTTTACAGGCGGATGAAGAGTCTAGGTATTGATGAGTAAGTCTACACATATGGCGACTCCTTCCCACAAAAGCTTTATGAAAGCTTTTACATGTCCTCACTGGCAGTGGCACCAGTGATAATCTCGACCAGTTCACCGGTAATGGCGGCTTGACGCTGACGGTTGTACAGAATCTGGAACCTGAGAAGCTGTCAGTCTATGAATTCCAGGTCTTAGCAAGGAGTGCAATTACTTGTTGATCATTTCACCAGCGTTCTTCGAGGCGTTCTATACAGTGATTCAAGTTAGTTGTCAACCCCATATTTATCACTCGAACTGAAGAGATACTTGCCTCCATGGCGTTACGACGAGCCTGACTATGCATTAGCGATAGGTTTTATTTCTCATTAGAATCTCAAGAGCTTACCGAAATCTCACAAGCGTGGCCTTCAGCCATAGCCCAGTACAGGCTATTGGCAAGAGCATATTCACGGAGGTTGGCCAGGGCAGAGTCCTCAACCTCGAAGGTGGCAAGGTTGGCTAGTCGAGCAAAATCAGCACTATGAATCCAGTGAAAGACTTGACGAAGTTACTGACCGGACTTGGTGATAGCCTCCTCGGAGTAGGCCTCAACGGAGCTGGGCTCGTAGCTCTGAGCGTTGATGAACTTGTTGTAGATAATCTTAACGCTAGCATAGTCGGTGGGCAGCTGAGCGATCTGGTCGGCAATGACCTGAGCATCAGCGAAAGTAGGGATGTCCTTGCAGACGTTGGCGAAGCTCATGACGATGGCGTCGGCGTTGGATCTGGACAGCTGAGCCTTGGCCTTCTCTCCGAGGATGACCACGTCGGCGTTGGGGTTCTCCTGGAGTATACGACGAGTCGCCTTGCTGAGACCGGAGTGGATACCACCGCAAAGACCCTTGTCGGAGCTAGCAACGACGAGCAGGGTCTTCTTGTCCTCGAGGGGCTTGGTTTCGGCGTTCTCGAAGACCTTGTTGGACGTCTGACCGTAAACACGAGAGTCATCCATAGCCTTCTGGGCGCGGGTAAGGCGGGTAGAGGCAACGATCTTCATCGTGTTGGTGATCTTCTCAATGTTCTTGATGGACTTCAGACGGCCCTCGATTTCACGCAGAGTCGCGAAGTTCGCGGCGTTGGGGGGCGCAGTGCTTCCAAGAATATCAGCATCTCGTATCCACCGATTTCATTAACACATATTTCTTCCCAATTCCATCGCTCTATTGATACGCCTGACTAAATGATCGATTGACGTTGGGGGCAGGGAGGGGAGCGTTTGTATGGTCGGATTATGGACGTCCGGAAGAAGAACTCACCGGGTCAGAGTGGCACTGCCAGCCCGAACGGCCGGACGAACAGCACGAGAAAACATGGCGGACGTTAAGTAATATTGACCTGGACGAGATAAAGAGCGGAGGGAGTGCCGCGAGGTCAATCGAGGACGGGTGATGAGAGACCTATGCTATAGCGGGAAGAGAAGTCGTTCACTTTTGAGGTTCGACTCCTGTTTCTGTTCGTTCTTCCGACAGCCGGGAGGACGGGAATCCAGCCGCACTAAACCTACAATGGTAACTCTTTGAGGGTGGTCAGACAGACCTAAAGCGCAACTCACACAGAGAGAGGGTACGTCACGTGATGGGCTCAAGCCCCCCGGGCCATAAGGCATTCAGGCATACAGGCACCAATACACTGTGCGGGATTTCTGACCGAAGAGACCCGAGACCCGTGACCTATGTAGCCTCAGGCATCAAAGGCAAACTCACAACACGAGTGGTCACTGGTCCGGAGAAACGTGAGAAGCATACCTATTGGCAGCGGCCTCAGGCCCCCAAACGACCATCGTTTTCCAGGTTCCATTCCATTCCTTCTCGGCCCTCTCTCATTCCTTCTCCTCAACCTTTTCTTTTGTGTTTCCCTCCTTGTCGCGCTTCTCGGACTTCTCTTTTCCTCTCAATTCACTGACATTGTACAATATTCTCCCCTCAACATCCTTTCATTCTTCGCATATTCATCATTCAAGGTCTCATTGACCTCATCGTTTGGTCAAGCGCCGTCTCTGTTCTTCAGACTTGGCAGACGGCCAGTGTCGAGTCTCTGCCTGTCTCCGCTCCGTGTTTACCTGCATCTGCATCTTCGATCCTCAGACCAACAACTTCCTACTCAGCGACTCGCAATC